TAATATATACCGTGATAACAGTGATACCCGTGATAACCGTGATATTTTCTGAGACGATTATCATACCGTGAAAATCTCATACCGTTACAACCCTAGTAAATACTAGTTATTACCAAATACTGTTAGAAAGAAGAGCAGAGTTGAAACTCCAGCTGTTCCATAGAACATTATGCTGATGTTGTGGCCCATGAGATCTTTGTCGTCAGCTGTGTTGGGAACCAGTACAGGTGGGAGCAGGAAACCTATGGCTACACCAAGCTGAAGGGAAATAAGACAATATTACACAAAGACTCATGAACATATCAGTATATAAAACAATAATAAAACACTAGACCCTTTAAGACTAATAAATACACACTGTTAAATATTTCAGGTCACACTTTAAGTTATAGTGTTCATATTACTGTGCATTTAAATGCTTAGCACCCTTACAAAAATGTACCATGGTTACCATAGTTCCCGCCAAAATAATAACATACAACAGAAGTCAATGGAAACCAAAACTGCTTTGTTACCAAATTTCTTCAAAATATTTCCTATTGTGTTCCACAAAAGAATGAAAGAAAGTCATACAGGTTGGAAATGGCAATTTGCATTTTTGGGTGAACTATATCTTTACAATAATTATAAAATAATATAAGAGAAAATTGACGATAGACTATCATCTCTATCTCTTAAAGTAATAAAATTTTTGCATGGTATTTTTTTAGAAGGGAAAATGCTACTTAACATAATAACGTGAAATTATTTAATAATGCTGACCTGACTCAGCTGTACTGAAATTTAAATACAAAAGCAAATGACATAATATGTCAAATGTCAAGTAATATTTAACCAAATTTATCGTTAATGGCATGTAATTTACTGGTCACACCTGGTTACCCAACACCGCTGCGGCACAGGCCGTGGAAACTTCTCCCGGGCCGAACCAAACCGACGCGATTCTGGAGGGGAGGCCGAGGATGAACACCTGTGCCACAGAGCATATGATCTGTGCGGTCATGGTGACCCAGAACAGGCCGGGCCCCACGCTGGCGCACTTTACCCACGCGCCCAGGGCATTCAACCCGGCCCCTAACAACGCCGTCATCCGCAGCCCCTTCTTATCCAACAGCCACGTCGCGGGGAAGATTAAGGGTATATACGCGACCATATAGACCACGGAGAGCCAGTCAATCGCGATGCTTGACACATTATAATAGCCCGTGAAGATGTTTGTAATGATGCAGTACTGGATCCACTGAAAGGCATTGACGAGCGAATAGAGGCTGAACACCGCGAGAACGGCAAACCGCCTCCAGTAGAGTCTCGTCTCCAGCGTTTCGTTATTCTGTTCACCGGGCAGCATCGCCTCTTTTTCGTCCGGTGGTGGAAGCTCCTGTTCCAGCACCTTCGGATCCAGCGTTATATGGACCGATCCATTGGAAAGCTCCTTGTAGGCGCTGTCCTCGTTTGTATTTCCTTCAGTGACAGCGCCGTCAGGCAGAACATGCTGCTCCTGAAGAAACTCGCCTGCCACCATTTCGACTAAATTAACACCCTTCACTTAGACATAAACGATTCTAGTTCGTATAAAAATTTACTAGATGTGTAATTCTCTTCCGGTTGCGGTAAGCGTATGAGACAAAGAGATGATGATGATCCACTTGATAATAACGCAAATAAGACACTGTAATTACAATTTATCAGCCTGAATTGGGGCCACATTTCCGATCACTACCGGCTTCAGCAGCATGCGAGTGATGATGGCGTGATGTGCGCATCCTCCTCGGATTTGCTTATTCCGCCTTCCTTCGTCGACCGCTACAGTAAGTAGATTTATAGGCTTGGCAAGGACCAATGAGAATGCAGATGGGGCGGGGCAAGTAGGCGAGCGAGCCCTACAGTACAGCACATCTACACTGCTAAGTAGACTAGAAACAATGCGAGCTGCGTTGAATGGCGCTTCAGGCACTTTTTTCTTTTCCCCATACATAAGAAGTGGTATCTTAATTTTCAAACCAAATTTATTGCATTTTATAAACTATACACAAACTTTATATATAAACATTCTGGAACAATCTAAAAAAAAAAAAAAAACACATGCTGAAAACACGTAGCCTAAATTTGTCATTTTTTTGTCTGGTAGCTAATGTTAGGCCTACCTCTTGCTCTTGAAATTTTTTTCTTTATTCCATATTATTAAAATAGTATAATAAATGTCACGGTGAAATCAATGTATGCTAGGTTCAGTCTGGGCTTGGTGGAAATGTGGGAGACTTTTGCAAAATCCTGTCAGAGTTAACGTGATAATGTAAGAGGCTAGATTACATATGTTCAATGCAATTTTTAAACACATTTACTGAAATTGGCAATGCTGTTTCAGCAATGCTGCTTTTTAAAGACGTGTTAGAATGAGATCAATTAGGCCTCGTTGAATTCATTCTACTGACAACCCTAGCTTTAACAGTAAAAAAAACGACATCATGCTACAAACTTGTTTTTCTTTTCCCGCGGTTTAAAGGTTTGACATATTGCAAAAATTATAATGGACTGAAATGTGTGTACTGAAATATTTTACATACCAATAATAATACTGTGCTAGATTATGACATTTGTGAGGGAGCGGCCTTTGAGCTTCTGTTTATGACTACTAGGCCTACTAGTTGAAATTGTGTATAATGCATTACATTGACTGTAAAATATGTATTTTAGGAATGGAAGTAGCATATGTTGACTTTTGATATTTGGATAGGGTCACGGCTTGTTTAGGGGGGAGGAGGTTGGGGTGGGTCCCCTCGGTAGAAATCGCGGTAGAACCCCCCCCCCCTTACGGCGCCTGTGACCATGGTTACAGCTTTTTAAACATTAAGGACTGAAATGGCCACAAGCTAATTCGACTTAACAAGTAGGCTACATATGATTATGTCGAAATCAAAGCAAGACCAACTGTACGAGTTGAATATGCAGAGAGTCGTGGTGTCACGTGGAGACGACCAGCAGGTTCTGGAATTTAGCAGAAAGGAAACACTTCCGTTGTCACCTCCAGAACACCTGTGACTTCAGTGCGCTGCAGACTGCGCGTCCCGAGCAGCGGTCCTCCTGGATGGACAGCAATAACAACACCAGACATCCCGAGCGAAGACACTTTGAAGACAGCTGTAAGATGAGCTTTAACTGCGTTCGAAACTTCACCTGTGACTAATAAAGTCATATACGATTTGATAACGTAAAATCAGTGCTTAATTTGTAAATTGCGAGGTCCCGGAACAAAGTGGGGTGACGGGAGAGATGATTAGAGGAGGGAGAGGTAACGGAGCATTCCCGCAATGGAGGACCAGTTTACGTGATTACCAGCGTGCATCTTCTTACGGTCATGAAAAAAAATGGAAAAGTCATGAAATTTTAAAACAGCCATTTCCAGGCCTGGAAAAGTTTTGGAAAAGTCATGATTTTTTTCCCTTAAATCTCTGTATAATATAATTATGTTTAATATGCTTTCGAGTTTATAATGAGGGAAATTCCTGCAAACATTCAATAGAGCATGTAGGTTAGATGAGTAAATAAATCCACACGCTATCAGATTAAATCAGTCATTTGAAAACAGCGTGCGTGATTCAGCTGTACCGCGTCTTCTCTCACTCTCAAAGCGGCTTCACAGCAGCGCATCTCGTCTGCACTAGGCCTACTGCACGCTGCGATACAAGACTTTTGTTTGGGTTTCGGGACAGTCGACAGAATTGTCACTTGCCTAATGGAGTCATTGTTGCATCGTCATAAAACTGTATCATTGGCACATCTTTTTAAGTTTAAGCCATTCGATATTCGCGTGCTCCAAAGGGGGTTTCCTATGCGCTCACAGTCACATCTATAGTTTGTTTCAAATGTAAATGCTAGGCAAGCCTGCTCATAATAGAAGTTTTTTTTCATGAAATATATGCACGCTATAGGTCAACACAAACGTCTTTCATTGGCGCGTGAGGAGGGGATCTGTCAAATGAGGTGCCGGATAAGATTTCGGACAAATTCGGAGGTGCCGGATCAGGATCCGGCTTGTTCTGGCACAAATTAAGCCCTGCATAAAATAGCATCTTTTTGTTAGGAACTGCAATCAAGTTCTGTGAAGAGTAAATGTTTTTTTTCCAGACAGCAATAAACGTGTGAAATGAACCAATCTGGCAATAAAAGAGTGGATTATTTCATATTTTTATTTGAACTGGTGCTCTCATTGTCACAGTTAAAGAAATAGTTCACCCAAAAATTTAAATAGGTCATTTATCCCCCTTATGTCAAAACCTGTATGACTTCCTTTCTTTTGAAAGGAACACAAAAGAAAAACATTTGAATAGTTCACTGATTATAATGAGTTCTATAATATTTTGTCGCGCCGCTCGCGTCCGGTGAAGACACGGTGTAACATTGGTTTTGTACGGTGGCCGAGAGAGCTCAACGCGCTACAAATAAAAAAAAAAAACACATGCAAACACCTGCAAATTAAGAAAACATCGTCATCAATTTGACAACACACGCGCTGCAAATTCTCACAACACAAACAAATACAGAAACGCGCTGCAAACACAAACAGAAACAAAGAAATGCGCTTCCCTTAAACATTTCTGATGTGGTCTGTGCATATTTGCAGCGCATTTCTGTTTTTGTTTGTTTGTTTTGTATTTGCAGCGTGTTTCTTTGTTTGTGTTGTGAGAATTTGCAGCGCGTTTCTGTATTTGGTTGTGTTGTGAGAATTTGCAGCATGTGTGCTGTCAAATTGATGAAGATGTTTTCTTAATTTGCTGGCATTTTTTCTATTTGCATGTGGGTTTTTTTCATTTGCAGCGCGTTGAGCTCTCTCGGCCACCGTAAGAATTGGTTTTGATCCAGCTTACACAACTAGTCTTAACAGATTCATTCATTAATCGAACTGATCCTTTTATGATACTTTTTCAGTAAATTTGCAGAAAGCTTGAAAGCTCCAAACCTTCACTTTATTAACAAAATAAAATAATATAAGAATAATAATTCTAGGTTTTTAACTTAGAAAACAATCGAAGGGCATTTTGTGTTGTGACTTCCATAACTTCTGGAGATATTCCCTTAACTTTTGCAATGTGTTCACAGCAGATCATTATGTTTCCCGGCTCACTTCTAACCTAGAGCAGTAAGAATAATAAAAAGAAAAACACAGACAGTGAGCTTCAAAACATCTCAGTCATACAGAAAATCTTACATGTTATGTTCTAATATTATAATATTATAACAGGTTAGGACTTACATGTTTGTCCGTTCCCAAGGCTGGAGAATCTGTCTCGAGGCAAATGTGTTCTAGTGGAATCTGATTAATTTTGCTCTCTGCATTTAAACTACAGTATCATTATATTAATGAAAACAAAATTTATATTAAACTTCATGTCTGTACACTCTAAAAAACACCAATTTAGCAAATTGGGTTGTTTTTTTAACCCAGCATAATGGGTTGATTTAACCCAGCTAGCTAATAGGGTTTATTCAATTTTACTATATTACTATCTTGTTTTTTACTTCATACATTAAATAATGTTTACAGATTAACTTAAATCCTCTAAACTTTTCTCAAATACTTCACACAACCACTGGTTTGCATGATAACTTCCTTTATTTTCCTTTATTTGACATTTACAGCATTGTTTATATCGTTTTTAGGCTATACATATTGCCTATATTTTATGCAAAGCATCAGGCTTTTCCATCACGCGAAAAGACCGCGACACTCGTTAAAGGTGATTCACACCGCTCGCCTGTATGTTGCTCTGCATAAAATTGAACGATATATACAGCACAGTAACGATTTTATAGATAAAATAAAATGTACACAAACCTGTATTTTACCGAAGAATGCATCAATTCGATGGCGCTTAGAACTGCTCTCTCGTGAAGACGCAAAATCCCCGCAATAAATAACTCAACCGCTGGGTTACGTCTGACCCTGGATCTGAGTAGCTAACACAAAAACTACCCAAACATTGGGTTGTTATGTCTGACCCAGGAGCTGCAAAACAACCCAAACACTGGGTTGTTACATTTGACCCAGGAGCTGGGTAACACAAATACTGCCCAAACACTGAAAAAATAACCCCAAAAATGACCCAAAAGGCTCAACCCAGCATTTGGGTTAAAAAAAACCTGTATAATAAGGTCTGTATAAGTTTAAATATAATTTCCAGTTCATTCATATGTACAGAATGTGCTAACATTTGCAGTGAATGGCATGTGACGTGGAACAGGGTCATTATTTAATATATGTTACATGTCTTTATTGCATGCTTATCATACTAATGACTTTATGGCACTAAATGAGAATCATTATCCAACCTGCTCGTTTTTGCTGATGGCAGGCAGAAAGGAGAAGAAGAATCCAGCCTGAACCCCTTCCATAGCAACCGATGGCTTGCTGGCAAAATTATGCAATAATGCTTGTCTAATCCCTAAAGACATAAAAGAATAATTCTGCAAGAAATTCAGCTGCGACTGCAAAGGTCACAGAGACACAATGATTTGCTAGCTCTTACCTAGTTCTTTCATTGTGGCTATGGCAACCTTGGCTGCTGACCGGGAATGTACATTCCTTTAGGATAAAAGAATGGACTGAGTTATGAGCATTAAAGAAACTACAAAATGAAGAGTCAGTTCAGTATACAATATATTTTGCTATGCAAAGTAGTGTTAAAAATTGGCAAACCATGTAGCCATTTCTGAGCTGCTTGTATGATTTCTTGTAACTTTCTAGTAAGAAGTAAGAACTCACAATGGCAAATTCAGATCTTTAGATATTTCAAGTTTTTTTTAATAAAGACTTTTATCTGTTTGTCACGCTCTTGAGTGGTATTTGCAAACCAGGGAGTAAAGTCAAGACCAGTCTGTGGAGAGAAAAAAAATATTAGCAAGCATAGACCACATTATGTAACAAGTAGATGAGCTACAGAGTACAATTGAGACTCAATATTTAAAATCAAAATTAGAAATGTGAGGCCTAGCTTCCCTAGCCTTGTACAATTTTCAAAAAAATTTTTGTATTATTATTATCCCCGGACAAATGGTTCTCAACCTTTTAGATTCCAAGGCCCTGCATTGTATATAACAATATTTGAAGGATCAATGACTTTTCCAGTTTTTCATGATTTACTAGATAAGTATTTTTTTTTATATTTTTACTTTACAATTTCTACCTGATAAAATATGGAGTTAGAAGATTTTATTAATTTAGATTCTAGTTCTTAAAAAAAGTTAATTAATATAATAAATATCTTGATTTTTTTGGCTTATTTTAATCACTCTAAATCATTTTAACCTTTAAGTCATATTGATGCCACCTTGGGAGTTTGCTAAGAACTTCTTTACATTTTCTCACTTCATTTAATTAATTTCACATTCCTTAATGACTTCTCTACTTTGTATATAAACAATGTAATCAAAGTAAGCTGAATTTTAGTTTGGTAGGTGTTGGGTCAATTCATTTTACATAATATTTATATAATATAAAAATCCCCAGCAGTGTTTGTTGAAACTTGTCCAGAAAAGATAATATCTACTTTACCACCCCGACTGCAACAATATCATCTCTGTATTTCGGGAACAAAGGAAGTTATGGCTCCAGGTCCTGTTTAACCAAAACTAATATAAAGCATGGTAAACCTTTTAATGTAAATCTTTCTATGTCATGTTATTTTATATTCACCTGAATCTTAACACTATGCAAGTCTTGCCCTGATCCTTGAAGGGGATGAATGCCAAAACAAGGGAACACAAAACCAGGATAGCTATATCAAAAACATTAAATATTAGTAAAGCTGCATGTGTCCATTGCTGTGTAAGCATATGTGGTGTGTGTGCAACTGGAACACTGTCATTCTAAATGGCACAAGAAACTCCTCAGTGAGAATGTTCTCATCCAAAGCTTTTGTTGACACATGAGAGGTTGTGTTTAACTTACGTTTTTGACTGGCTCCCTCTGTAACTGCCACAAGAGCTTTCACTCCAGCCTAATTACATTCATTAAACAGAAGAGGTCATCATTGCAACCTCTGAGTGAGTCAACTTTTATTGTTTATCAGATTTATTTTCTTAGGCTTGACAAAAGCTTACCCTTTTAGCTCTCAGAAGTACATCATCTATGTCCTATAGGGAAAACAATGAAAATAACTTAATATACAGACTAGGTTATGTAACAATTCACTGTGCAATTGATTTCTGTTTGGTGTGGCAGCAAACCCTTTGTCTGCATATTGGTTACATAAACACAGTGATATACAACACAGCTTATACGACAGTTTACATAAAACACTAGGCTATATAATAACATTTGTCTTTGTTTTGATTATTGTAACTTCATTCAGTCAAAAAGTGGCCAAATTTACTGTAAGTGCTTTACCATGGCAATTAAATCACTGTGAACTACCTGCTGAAAAGAATTAAACCAGCTGAGACCAACAAACACGCTTTGGCTGGTTTAAGTGTGTGTGTGTTTTCAGTAGGGCTGAAGCACACGTTTATAAAGCGGGGAAACGCCATTGTGCTTATTGCTTGAAGATAAGACTTTCGCAATTTAGTTGACTACATGAGTTTTCTTAACGTATCTGTGTAAACTCGTTTGCTAACAGGTGACAGTGACAGTCAATAAGTACTCTAGCCATGATGTTAGTGTATATAAAATATTTTGAGCACGTTTCTGTGTAAATTAGTACATAAAACGTGTTATTAAACCACTCGTTGTTTTCATGATCTCTACGGCATTTTCTCAATCGGTCTTAACGATTGCCTGGAAGGCGGAACGCTTCGTCCGCTGAAGTGTTTCTCTCAGGGTTTGTTTCGTTGTAACCCATTCTGCTTCCGTTTCCAGGATCTATTTTGAAAAATAAGCGGCAGTCATGGAGGAAGATCGTGAGAGCGGGGCAGATTGTAGAGTAAATGTCAAGTCGAAAAAACATGTTCGTGAACAGCTTGAGAACTATAAAGACTTATTTAAAAAGTTGCTCGATGGCCAATGCCACATTTCTGAGGAAGACAAAACCAAATTGCTGCAAGAAATGGTTGTGGTAAGTCTAGTAGAATAAAAGAGATGTCAGTTCAATTATTTTTTGTCTTTATCAAGTGTATCATGGTTTTAACATAGAAACACCCATCTGTTTTGCCTGTGGTATTCAAGTATGGGAGTTATGACATCGACTTCGTTTTCTAAATTTGATAGACACAAAACCCACTTAACGTTACTCAAATGTGTTTTTCATCATCTTTATTATTGTTGCCGTTTCTTCTGTTGTTGCTGTGTGTTTTTTTCCATTCACCTTATTTGTCTCTTATCTTTTAGAACTTTGAATTCACAGTGCAAGAAAATCTAGTTATTGGTGGCTTGTCATGGGACGAGGCGTCAGAGGATTATTGTGAAGGTAAGTTACTGTTACAGTTTCAGAGAACTCATTGCACTTTTTGCAAACCCAAGCCATAACATTATTAACCATTACTTTGTGTATTTAGACTACGAGAGCACAATAAATGACATTCTGGATGAGAAAATAGTAGAGACCGCCTGCAAACGGAACTCTTACCCAAAGCAAATACGCAACAAGGTTGTGCGATCATTAAGAGCAGAGAGGAAACTTCTGGTGAGACATGTTTTTTTCTCATATATATATATATATATATCTCACAAACAAATTCAATTATTGAAATAATAACATTACAAACTTAATATTAATATTAGTCTTTATAGGATATTATTTGTATTTATTTATATTTGGAACTATTTGAGAACACACATTGAGTAAATTAATTATTTTAAAATGTTACATGTTCCACCACTGGCCACTAGATGTCATAATATCATTCTTTTACAGTTGTAAAATTTTAGGTGTTCCACCTCTGGCCACTAGAAGTCGTAATATACAGTATTTGAAAATAAACTATTGTGTTTCTGTAACTCATGTGAGACACTGGGATGAAAAGTACAGTATACTTTGGTGTTTTTTCAGAGAACAGGTCCGTTTGATTTTTTAGAAGACCTAAATGTTGCTGTGTGAACTGAGCTTATATGTTTTTACTGTTAATCCATTATTTTAGGGTTTGTATGAACAGGCAGTGAAGCCACAAGACCTAAAGCCAGACCCAGCTCAAGGTGTGTGCACCTTTCTGTTTCTTTCTTTTTTTATTTTAGTAAAAGTGCATAATTTGTACAACAGTGCTTTATGCAGTATTCGTTAGGGGTGCTCCGATTGATCGGCTACCGATCACTATCGGCCGATAATCACGTTGGGATGATTGATCGGCGGTCTCTAAAAAGGCCGATATAAAAAAAAAACGATCTCCAGCTGATGACGCTGCCGTGAGAGGTTTGGCACGACATGCAGCGGCACCGTCTCAGTCTCTGTCCGGTGCGGTAAAATAATTATAATGCTGAAGGTGAGGCACTCACCTTCATATTTCCTCATTAAATAACTTAT